AGGTAAACTTGCACTGTTTAAACCAAAAAACATTGCATTTCCTAGAGGAGTTTCATCAAAGTAGTACAATCCATTCATCTCTCTAGCAGTTCCAATCGTCTTCCCCGAGTTCTGGTCCTGAAAAACACAAGTGGAAGAACGAAAAATCACAGAACAATTAGTGTCCTTAGACAATTTATGAACAGATAGAAGATTGCAAGCAAATTTAGGAACGTGTAAAACAGATTGCAAAGTAATTTGCTCTGAAATTTTTATGCTGCCTTTGCCTGCAATACTAGAATAACTACCATCAGCAATCCTTACTTTTTCAGACCCGGAACAAGGGAAATAGGAACTGAATAAATGAGAGCAATTGGTCATGTGTTCAGATGCCCCTGAATCTATTATCCAAGGGTTGGAGTGGTTTTGGACAGATAATGCCCAAGAATTCTTACCTGTTTGTACCACAGTTGCAACAGGAACATTAGGTGATGAATTGAACTTTAGAAGTTTAAAAAGGTGATCCATTTGCTCCTTAGTAAATGGAGACGAGTCAGCCTCATTGGTTGTAGACGTAGGGCGATCACCAAACCTTCCGGCCTTTCTATTATTTGGCCTACCATGTAGTTTGAAACAGTTTTGCCGAGTGTGACGATTTTGACCACAGTAGTCGCAAACTAAATGATTCTTGTCACCACCTCGTGGATTAGGGAAAGGTTTGCGATTGACTTGAGGAACAGCCAATGCAGATCCTTCGACTGGTGGAGGGACAATGGCAGCCTTTTTTCCAAGCATCACCTGCCTGCGACTCTCTTCGCGACGCACTTCAGCAAATACTTCACCAATTGGAGGGATAGGGTTCCTGCCAAGAATTCGGCCACGAACCTCATCAAACTCAATATTTAGACCTGCAAGAAACTTGAAGACACGACGAACATCCACCATCTTCTTGTAGTGTTTGCAGTCCTCGGGTGACTTCCACTCATATACATTGAACAAATCCAAATCTTGCCAAATACGCTTGAGACAATTGAAATATTTGGTAACAGAATCTTCAGCTTGACGAATTTCTCCAAGCTGGAGAGTTAATTCATAAATTTGGGATTGGTTGTCCAAATCGGAATACATCTGAGAGACACTTTCCCAAAGATCTTTTGCAGTAGCATAACAAAGATAGTTTGCACCTATCTCTTCAGTCATGGAATTGACTAGCCATGTCATGACCATGGAATTTTCAGCATCCCAACTATCGTAGTCTGCACCTTCCTTGTCTGGTTGTTTCTTGTCTCCAGTGATGTAGCCAATTTTTCCTCTCCCCCTGAGATACAAACGGACAGACTGTGACCACCGAAAATAATTAGGACCGTTCAGTCGAATTGTTGTGATCTGAACAGGGTGATTTTCATGGTATGTCCTGACAGATTGAGGTATTTCAGTTTTAGGTGAAGAATGTTTGGGTGAATGCTGGGACTCGGTATCAGACATTACGTGGGATGGAAAAAGAAAAAAAACACGGAAGCAAAAGAAGAAAAAAAAACTAAGGAATTCTTCCAGCAACTGATACCATAAAGAAACAGACAATCTGTATTTCTTTGATAATTCGATAAGTAATACATGAAAGGTATATATAGAATACAAGGGACAGATCAATAATCCTAAATCTGGCCTGAGAATCAGAGCAATAATTCTCCCTTTAAATGCTAATTCTAAATATGGTAGAAGACAACTAATTACTAATTACTAATAGCTAATTACTCATATATTATTTACAATGAATGCTGAGCTGTATAATACAGAATCAACAGATTCTGTACTTATCTCTCTAATAACTTCCAACACATTCAAACTACCACATGGCAAGGGAAACGAATGCAAGAGCAATGTACGTATGACAGCACCATATATTTATGATTTAATGAAAACCTTTTACCATTTCCAGCACTTTCCTTTATCTTTCTGTCAAATAACATTTATAAGTTTTCTCATTTACAGTCTTTTCACTTCGAAATCTCTTCATTAAAGTTTTACATTTCAATGCTTTCTTCACATTTCAAGCACCATACATTTCAGAAAACTGTCATATTTTCCATGCCTTTACCTTCAAGCTTTATCCTTCGAACGCCTGTTTTTACTTAAAGTCATTTACAGATTTTTTGCATTAAACGCTTTCTTCATATTTCAAACCTTTTACGTTCCAGAAATCCTTTACATTAACTGTTTTTATAATTCGAAACCATTTGCTTGCCTTTTATGAAATTTTACATGTCTTTACAATTAACATTTATTCATGCAACTTAGTTTCGTACACACACATTTTGATTACATCTTTAGACCTTTAAGATAGAAATCGAAATAAGCCAAACACCTATACAACACTCAAATATCAACCATGAATATCTGTTCGATCATGAGAGTTACCCTAATGACCAAGGAATCCTAGGATCAATCTAGTCGATCCTGTGAGTTACCAGAGGAATTGAATAACAGTCAGAAAGATTATTCGATAGTTTAGAAGACTAGCGGTTGTTTACCAGAAATCAATGGAAACAGACCGTCGGGGTTCTTTACTTTGATTTTGCTTTTCTACGGACATTATTGTTCGTTTGGTATTGTTTTTGATGCTATTTTGATTCCTTATTGTATTTTCTTTTCCTTCCAATGAGAAGTAGGAATAGAGATGCATGACTAAGAGTCCCTACTTTAGATGGGCAAATCTGTTTAAAGTCCTCCAAGGAGGCAATGTTTATTTTGTTAAAAGTCCTCAAAAAAAGCCATGTTTGTGTATGTTTGTGTGCAAAAAACCTCTACGAAGGCAATTCCCACTCCCCTCCTATTTCCCTTTTACTTTTTATGCTTTCTATTGAGTCCATAAATGGAGCAAAGGATCCGCAATCGGCCGCCAAACTTTCTAGTTCGTATCGTTCTTAGCTCGCGTCATATGTTGATGCTTTGAACCGTGCTTATTCTCGTCCATTGATTCGAATAAAGTGGAAAATAATTCGTAATCAACCCCAACACTTTGATATTTGTTTCAATGATGTTAGCTCACGTTGCTCGACTTTGATGCTTCAAGTCATTACTCGATACCCATGATTAAGCAAATCAAGTGGGAAGAGTTTCTTACTCCCACTTTGAAATTCATTAGATTCATTGTTTATTACTAACTCACACTTGATTGTTTGTTTTGGTTATTGTTTCGACTTTGTTTAATTGCACTTGCGTTTGTGATTTTCGTTAGACTTTTACATGTTTCCTTATGATGCACTCGTTTCGTTTTCGATTCGAGTTAGACATTAGGATCGTAATTCATGCATGCTAACTTAGGTAGAGATTTCCTTTTGTTATCCAAACCTTAGGTCCACCATTGCATGAAAACTTTAGGATTGATAATCTCCCTTAGACTTTTTCATTCCCCTTTTGCATTTTTAAGACTAAAACTCTCTTTTTCTTTGTTCAAACTTTAAAACACTCTAGCACTATTAAACCATTTTTCAAAGTAAAAATAAACCAACCAATAAAAACTTTTTGTCTTCGGACTTTTTCTTTTAAAACCTTTTCGAAAAGGACATGCTTCGATCGCATCGTTCATAAAAAATATGCAATCAACCAAAACTTTTGAGGTAAACTGCGAATGCCTTGATCCCCATTGCATGGATGGACGGTGGTATGTAGGCACAGAGGTTTCCAACCGAGGCAAGTACGACTAATAGAACGTTTTCTTTTTGTATATAATTCTTTACATTCATGCATTCCCTTTATAGCCTAGCTTTAGATCTAAACATAATCATTAGATTAGACAACAAGAATGGATTCCGTGGAGTACCACAGACGTGAGAGGTACTAATACATTTTCCTTGCGTAAACGACTCTATTACCCGATCTTTTGGTCGCAAGACCTTGATTTTACCTTCTTAAGATTTTCTTCGATGTTTTTCTTTCCCTTCCTATGAGATAAATAAATGTCCGATGGTGACTTCATTGTTTGTTTTGAGAGATTTATTTTCTCAGGTTACTTCAAATAATACGAAGTTTGAAGGGAAAATGTTCACCTAATTTTTTAGTTTTTTTGAAATTTTTATGGAAATATACCTTTTTTGTTAGAAATAATGCAACAATCTAAAATTATTTCCATAAATATTTAAACATTCATCGGTTGTTGCCAATGATAAATCATAAGAAGGTTTGAAAATCGTCTCCAAAATTATTTTATGGAACATTTATACAAGTTGCATAAAAAAAGTGTTGCCATAAACAATAAATATTATAGTGAATTGACGCGCCCTCCTGATTTTAATATGATGTGTCAATGCATATTTTAGTTTGTTATACGAAATTTCCTGCTAAAATTTCATATATATGTTCTGCGAAAGACAAATTGTTAAAATCTGCAGATAGAATATGTAGATAATTCCATAGAAAAATATTTCTTAATTTGAAGTAAATCCTGTTGAAATTCCGTAGGAATAAAATTTTCGCAGAAATATCCGCTGCAAAATTTACAGGAAACAAAAAAATACGTTATAAAATATGACACATACAATTGGCGCACCATATTAAAAAAATCAGGTAGTCGCATGAATTGCTTTGCCACGTCGTTTTTATTCGAAAGTTGAGAATATTTATAAAAAAAAATGTTAGAAATTTGGTTACTTTAAGTATTTGGATGGGAATGTTTGTTATAATAGTAAAAAAATTCTTAACAAATGAAGAATAAAACAACCAAACAATTAATCACTTGACCACGCAACTCGTTGCAAATTTCTAAAGACAATAACATTAATTTATTCGTAATTTTCAAACGTTTTTGCCTGTCGATTACATCAATTATTACCTAACTCAAAGTTAAAATAATGAAAGATTCCATCCTACTTGTTTGTTTTTTTTTGGACAAAAAACACCTACTACTTGTTTGTTATACACTACTTTTATAAACTCTCTTCCTTAATTTGTTGTCGGAAGAAAAGAGAAATAATTGACAAATGATTAAACCAAGAAACATTCATCAACCTTCACAAGCAACCATGTCAGGTCAACCTTTCTCACAACCACAAACCAATGATCCCTTTCTCCATCTCAAAATCATCTCAAACCCCGACGGCACAATCACTCGCCTACGTGAAGACCAACACACCCCACCTTCCTCAAATCCCAACCTTCCAATCCCCGTTCTTACCAAAGACATCACCATCAACGCTTCACACAACACCTTCGCCAGAATATTCCTACCTCGCAAAACACTCTATCCCTCCTCCTCCTCCTCCTCCCATAAACTCCCTCTTATTGTTTACTTTCACGGTGGTGGTTTCATCTTCTTCAGTGCAGCCTCAGATTTTCTCCATGATCTTTGTTCCAACCTCGCAAAAGATGTTAACTCCATCGTTGTATCAATCGACTACCGTCTCGCTCCTGAACATCGTTTACCAGCTGCGTACGATGATGCTATGGAAGCCTTACACTGGATCAAAACCCGACCGGACGAATGGTTGAGAAAGTATGCTGATTATTCAAATTGCTATATCATGGGAAGTAGCGCTGGAGGAAATATAGCTTATCATACCTGTCTACGCATGGCTGCAGAGATTAATCTTAAACACGATTATATAAGTCCACTTAATATTAGTGGACTTATATTGTCGCAACCGTTTTTCGGTGGAACCAAGAGATTACCTTCAGAGCTGAGGCTGTTAAACGATGCCGTTGTGCCGCCGCACGTGTGTGATTTGATGTGGGAACTATCGTTGCCTTTGGGTGTTGACCGTGATCATGCGTATTGTAATCCAACGGTTGGTGATGGGGTTGGGGTTTTGGATAGGGTGAGGGAGCTTGGTTGGAGGGTGCTGGTGAGTGGGTGTGAGGGGGATCCGTTGATGGACCATCAGATGGTGATGGCGACAGTGATGGAAGAAAAGGGTGTGGTGGTGGTGAGAAGTTTTACGGCAGGGGGGTGTCATGGGGTTGAGGTTCGTGATCTCATCAAGCGAAAGCAGTTGCATAACCTAATCAAGGATTTCATTTCTTTCCACCAATAAATTTTTAATTTGTCACATTGTATTAGTATAATTTTTTTTTTCACACTCCGGTTCAGAGGGGAAAGGGCCCTATTAGTAGTGAACATCCAATTTATATATATTTCGAAAATATATTTTCAGACGTATCATATATAAATTAAATTTATCGTAGGTGACACATTTATTTTGTTAGAAATTAGTTTGAAGATTTATCTTTGCATTAACTTTCGTAAGTGAGTCACACCCTTATTTTGCTATAATTTACTCCGGAGACGCATCTCTGTAAATGTTACAGAAATACACTGATATAATAGGTCATTTATAATGAGTATACTATCATAATAAATTTTTATCAATTATACTATACACTAATGTAATAGATTAAAATATCATATATTAGAATCAATTCAGAATCCACAACACTATCAAAATGAAAAATTAAAAACCATAATATTATCCATAATCCCTAATACAAATTGTATCAAATACTACTGGATATATCAAACCCCTTATTCCTTCTCTAACTCACCTACTTCAATATTGTGTGTGCCTCAGATAGAATAACGTTTTTAGGGACCCTAACATAAGTGTCTTTCAAAAACTCTTATCTCTCTATACTCGCTCGCGCAATGGCCTTTATACGATGACATGTAGGTAAAATATCAACGATATGATCATCCCTAGCATTCTCCACCTCTAATATCTCTTAATGAGCTAGTCTAGGTGAATCTCCGTGAGCATTTGGTGATATGTAGGATGTGACACTTTGAAATGTCATTGGATGTAGCCAAATGCACTATTCCACGGTTGGGGAGCTGACACACTTTGTGCTTCATCAAATATCATATTTACATCTCTACGATGCATAATAGGAGGAGCAGACACATAAGGGTATCATGGAATACCATATAGATACTCGAATTGGCGCACGACTCACATACATAGACGTGGATATATCATACATGACTCACAAGCCAACCATAAATAATATAAGGCTACGTTATACAAGGGGTGCATCTGATGGTGATCATTGTATGGTTGGAATATCGTATATCATCTGCTACACTACAGTCAAGAAACACTCTAAAAGGATTGATTCACTTGATTTCCTCTGAACGAGACAAATTCACAATCATGTGGCCAATCCTCAATGTAGTTATCAACATATGACCAGCCTGAGATGCGTGGAAAGTGCTAGAGGATCCATGCCTGAAAATGGTACAGATGAATTATTAGTAATGGTGTGGCATAAGTGTTATGAAAATGCTTCAGTAACAGTAAAGGTGAAAATATATTATCGTAAACAACGTGCAATTGGCTATCATATGTTTGGTTTTCCTAAGAAAAACTTCAGCTACCTTTGAGTACAGGTAAACACAACAAGCACCCCCTAGTTGTACTCATGAATCCTCTCTAAGTCAATGATGTATCTGAGGTAAACCACATCGACATAATAAGAACTCTTGTCCACAAATATGGGTGTGTCAACTAAAAACACGAGGTATGGCGTTAATGCATATGCTTATGATGAATAACCTTTTCATCATCACGATTGGCCTTCATTGGCCCATTCGGGTGGTGTACATAAAAGTTATTTAGGAATGAAAATCTAGCATGACGCTCTCAGGTGTCTTCCAACTCCTTCAGAGCATCTTATGGATCAGCTCCCAACATGGCCACCATCATCTCCAGTGCTTCAAGTCTGGTCATCTCGGAGTTATCTAATAATCTTCCCCTAATCAAATGATGTAGTAGGGATGAAAAATCATCTAGTGTGATGGATATATCACCATGAAAAAGATGAAAATGCGACGTCTTATAGTGTCAAATATCCACAAGTGCTGACAAAATACCATGGTTAATTGTAGTATAATCAATCATGCATAAATCTAGCAGTCGAGGTAGTTGTAGGGAATCATGAAACCATTGATCCTCTTGTTATTGTAGCCTTGCAATCTTTCTACCATGGTTGATGTATTTTAAAACATCACAGTAGTGCAAAAAATATATTAACATTAAAAGTTTGAATATTATAACATATGTGTTTCAAAGAATAAATACAAATAAATTTTACCTCTTTGTACCACATGTTCCTAGCGATATCATTTGCTTAAAGATGAAACAACGATGTGTCATAGAGGCCTCCTCTGAATTCCTCAAGAATGATAGCATCAATAGTAGGTTCATTAACTTGGACTAGTGAGGCTTTTGGAGAAGCAGTAGGTGACACCTGCCTTTAGGAAGACGAAGCTAGAGAAATCTAAATCCCATAAGTTGACGCTTCCGCATCAAATTAATATTCAACAACGGGTGGTTATGAGTCTCGGGCTCTTTCTCTGTGAACAGATGCATGATGGGACACTTTATCGTGCTTCAACCTTTCTTGGTTATCAACAATGTTACCTATAATTAAACCCACATGAAAGATATTCAAAATCAAACCAAACAATGCAGACATATATAATATAGAAGTACACTTTTGTATTCCTAGAAAATCAAATTCTTCAAAAATATGTAAGTGTACTTCTAAAGTTTCCTGAAACCCAAAAAACACAAAAATGGCAGAAACGTGGGGAAGCGAAAATGGGACAAAAAGCATTGATTAGTAAACTACCTAACAATTAGCATAGCTACCTATGTATTGATGTACATTGCACAAACTAATGTTCCTATTTCGTAATTCATGTAGAGAAAATCAAATGTAAAAAAAATTGATTGAAAAACTTACCAAATGTGTAGTTGATGTTGAAGAACTTAGATTGATTGGATGTTGAGAAGTAATTGACAAACCATCTAGCTTGAATGGAGTAGAAAAAACACTTGGATTGATAAAAGAAAACCTTGAGCCATTAGAGAAGTGACTCGAGTAGAGATTTTTGGTGTGTTTTGCTGGAAATGAGAAAGGGGGAAGGTTTGACACGTATTGGACTAAAACTCCATATGGAGATATACTTCTGTATTTTGTTACTGATATGTATTTCTATACTAGTTTTTGGAAAAATGAGAATGACTTAGAAAATTTTCTGAAGATACTCCAGGTGGGTTCAACAGATATTCAAATGAGGTTATAACTAATTTTAGCGCTCATCTGATCTTTGAAAAAGAGATACGTGGAAGCCCGCGAAAGGCTAGCATTATGCAAACAAGGACATGTCATCCTCCAAGAAGAATACCGTTCGTGGTAATTAGTTTTGAATTATTATATATATATATATATATATATATATATATATATATATATATATATATATATATATATATATATATATATATATATATATATATATATATATATATATATATATATATATATATATATATATATATATATATATATATATATATATATATATATATATATATATATATATATATATATATATATATATGAGTTTTTATTATATATATGAGTTTTTATGTTAGAATTCTGTGTGTTCACTTATTTGTACAAATTACTCAAAATAACTCAAAGTACCAAGTGTTCCAGAAACGAGTTGCTGAGAATGTACGTATGAAGCACCAATTTTATATTCAATGTAATTCCTTTTCAATTGAAGTTCTTTACATTCCTTTTAAGTTCAAATCTAATTTTCTTTACATTCATGTTTTTACTTTAAAACATTTTATTACTACTTTCGAAGTAACAATCTTTATCGAAGAGACTGACACCTAGAAAACTTAAAAAATAAAATATACACTATTGTCCTAGGATCAATCTAGTCATTATTGTAAGCAACCAAAATCTCTAGGATTCTGAAGACTAACACTTGTTTATCAAATTTCACAGTAAAAAAATTAGCACGTCCAGTGGGACCCAATGTCTATTTTGTGAGAAATTTGTCACTATTTTCATACAAAATTTTGTTCTTTAACATAGTTGCATGAGATTAATAAGTGGTAAAATAGAAAGAAATAACAAAGTATTACCTAAAAGAAAACATGTTATAAGAATGGTGAATCCACCAAGCAATAATGGAGAACAACCACCCCCTTCGATGGGGGAAAGTACGGTTGTAGTTTCTGTAACCGAATTGATACATGTTCAAGCCAGTACGGTAGGAATATCGATGACCACCTATAGTGGACATGTTCTATCCCTGGTGCAAACACAAGGTCCCCTAGTGATCCCAAGACCCCCAGGGACGAACAATTTCATACATTTTACGTTTGGATTCACAATGCCAATGGATGACCACGAATAGATTAATGGTATGCCAACATCAATGATGGCAAGTTTAAACAATAGCACATCAATGTTCCCTTGCCCTTGCGTGTCTACTTTTTCGCCACTACAAAGATCAGGATCAAGGTCGAAATGTCCCATCCCCAGAATTCGTTGTCCAATTACCTACAATTACAACGAATTTTGTAGCAGAATTTAGATAACAAATGTATGATAGAAATCATGAAATGGTTAGTGTGCTAGCCCAAAATATTGGTTCAACTTGTAACCCTTTGATGCAAAATGCTAGCCAAACTAATCAGCAGAATGCCCAGACAAATTAGCAATTGGCAGCACAGATGGTGCGAATTACATATTTCTTTAGGGGCCCTCAGGCCCCAGTTCGACAAACTCGTCGAGAATGGATGAGAGAAAACCAGGGGATGGTGGTTAAAGATGATTCAACCATTAAACAAGCAAAACCAGTGGCGTAAAATGTTTGCTAAGTCAACCAGGGGCAAAGAATCGAATAACCTAGGATCGAACAAGCAATACAAAGGGAAGTTCAAGCCCTAAGGGTAATAATGGTTAATCGAAACCAAGATGCATATGAAGTCCTTCATCGTGTTCGATAGGATAAATTTGCAGGAGAAAATAATCTGAAAGCCATGGTCGAAAGGATAATGGCTCAAAATGGGGTAAATGTATCCCTTCGAAGGCCAAACTATACTCCCCCTTTGTCTGAATAAGTTTTACATACTGAATTACCTAGGGGGTGGAAAGTCCCAAAGTTCACAAAATTTTCTAGTGAATCCACCTTCGAACACACAACCAGGTATTTGACCGAGGTTCGGGACAT